AAATGAGCCGAACACGAGCTGAGCATGGCTCGTTCGTGTTCGGCTCGTTTACACCCTATTAAATACGCTTATTAATAGACTGTCAAACACCGCCTTAGGAATTCCGCACACAGAGGTCCTTCAAGGATTTCAAAGCCCGACGGAAAGAGTTGCGAGACTGTGATAAATTGTTACGACGGTGATCAGGTTGAAGGCCACTGTGAGATCTACAACGGCGCTGGCTGATTGCACGTAATAATTTTTCGCGAGGTAATTGAGTTTTAAGCGAAAACTTTGGCATGAAATTTTACATGTGAACTTTTTGTTATTGGTTAGTAGTGATTTTAAATGAAGCAAACTTCACTTCATCAGTCATTTGCAATCAGATCGTCCACAATTACTTTGTGAGCAGTCCCCTAACCAAAAAAAAAAAATTATGGGGCATTTAATTACAAACCACACAATTATTTATATTTACAAACCGAGCACCGAAATTTTGATATTTACATGCATGCCACTCAAATTTCTGACATTATATAAAAAAATATCACTAATACTATTTTCTTAATGTGAAAATGCAGCATTTTCATGAATTAATTTTAGAAAATTTACATGCATACCACCCATTTCCTATGTATTTACAAACACATGTAACAACTAAACTTCAATTTTTACATACATAGGTAAGCATGAAAGGTGTATTTCATTTTTTTTTTTAAGTTAACATAGTAATATTTTTTAGGTGATAAATGTAAAAAAGTAACAACTAAACTTCAATTTTTACATACATAGGCAAGCATGAAAGATGTATTTCATTTTTTTTTAAGACAACATAGTAATATTTTTTAGGTGATAAATGTAAAAAAGTAAATTTTAGGTGTAAGATATGTAAATACATATGAATTAGGTGGTCCGTTTCTAAATGCTCCATTGTTTCAACATCAAAGAGCTATAAATGTAAATATCAAACTTTAAGTGTCAGATACGTAAATACATAAAGAATTGTGGTATGCATGTAAATTTTTCAAAAATTATAAAACTTTCACTATTACAAGTGCAAAAATTCTGAATAAGATGCAGAACCACACTTTTAACAGGTTAAGCGGTCTCTTTATCTCTTCTAACATAATCCAACCAAGGCCTTGAAAGCATTAAGGATATTCAATTTAAAAAATGTTGCAAAATCAAGAATGTTGTAGGGGAGTATCACAAAACTTGCATTGTTAACTCCATTGACAAGAAAAGATTAGCAGCAAGGCAACATTGGTGTCCTCAAATCATATATATATATATATATATATATATATGCCGCTTACTTATGCATGAAAAGGTGTGTTACAATTTTTAAAAATTAGAATAATAAAATTTTTCATGTAATATGAAATTTTTGTGGAGTATAAATGTAAAAAGCAAAGTTTCGGTGTTAGACAAGTAAATATGTAAAGGATAGCAAGGAGGGCTAAATTATGTGGCTTCAAATGTTCAGGGCCCATAAAGCATCACTCTCAACGGGCAAGAAACAAAACAAAACAAAACGAGGCAGCTGTTAGATATACTAACAAGAGAGCAATAGAACCAAACAGAAAGGAAAATATTCTCATGTACACGCCCACAAGACTAAGACATTTTGCAATCTTCCTCACAATAAACAAGGATATATGTGAAATAAATGTACAGATATAGAATAATCTTTTTATAAAAAGAACAAAGAAGATGCAATCAACAAATGATAAACATCAAATCTAACGATGTTTTATAAGTTCAAGAAAGAAAACAAGAAAAAGAAAAGGAAAGCTCAGCCCTTGGAAGTTACATAATAAATGCAATCAATGCCGCAAAAATCTTAACAGGCCTACAGACATTATTCAATGGGGACAACCTTCCTTTTTTGTTTTTGTTTTTTGAAAGATTTACATACATAACACTTAATTCTTAAGCATTTACATATCTAACACCTACACTTCATTTTTTACATATATGCCACCTTATCTGTGCATGAAAAGGGGTGTGTCATTTTTAAGAGTTAAAATAGTTATATTTTTTGCTATATTAAAGATTTCGTTAGTAAAACTGTAAAAGGTAAAGGGTAGGCGTTAGATATATAAATAAATAGGAATTGAAAGGATTGTGTGGTAAATACTAAAAAATGGAGAGGCAACCATGTAAATATAAATGTCTAGATGTTAGATATGTAAATACATAAGAATTGTGTGGTATGTATTTAAATGCCACAACTTTATATGGAAGTTATACACCAAAAATCACAAACTTCTACAAAGGGGGAATAGTAATATTTTGACAAAAAAATATAAATAAATTTAGAGTTAATTAACTAAGCCCAACGAAGAAAAGAAAGTATTTTCAATGATTAGAAAATGTAACTAAATATGTAATCCAATAAAGCATTGAATAATCACATATATTTATGCCATATAAATAGTCACATCGCAAAAAATTTAAGAACAATAAAATTTAAGGAAAAAAACTTGTTTCTGCTTGAAAATTAAGCACGACTTTTTTATGTTAATATCAATAATGCCTACAATAATCTATACAAGTATTCAATCCATGTGCCATGCCCTCACTGCAACACAAATAAGAAATTAAACAATGTTATGCACGATGAATGTTTATATAAATGTGCAGTGTGTGCACCAGATAAATTGGCTCAACTGCAACACAAGTTGAGAGAATTTGAAGCTCTCCTTAGAGCTCTTATGGGGCGAGCTTAGGATTTATAAGATGGTAAGAACATACAGATACTATAAATTTTATTCAAGTTTATACTGAAGTAAAATGCAACAGAAATGACGCACATAATTCATCTGGTCCAACACATCTCTTGATGACAATTGTAGCAACTCAAGGCACCCTCTAATTCTACCATGAAATACATCTTCTATAATATGTCATCTATATTGAATTAATGTATTCACCAATTACAATGACATGAATTACTGTGACATACAATTGACACTAGTGGATTCATTTCAATCACCAATTACACCCCCATGATTTTTCCTCTTATTTTTCAAATAAAAAATTTCATGCTTCCTATGAGCTGCAGTAATTTATCTAATGTATATGTGGGCTTATCATACATTGACTCTCATGCAAGAAATAAGTTTCTTCATAGAAATCAATACGAAATCATCATTCACTTTAGAAAATAAACCAAAGATTTGAAAAAATATAGGTATAAGACATTCATGAGAAAAATAAAAAAGTTACAAGTGAAATGAATCCACAAAGCAAGTAGAAACAATTGCGAGGGTAAAAAGTTCAAAAGTATTCTAGGTAGCTTCTTCATCAGCGCCTCTTAGTAAATCAGTCTCGTGCAGTGCAAAAGAAATGCTGTGAAAGTAAATATTGATATTTGGTTGAACATATTGTAAATGCATGGATTTATAATTTTGCGTTTAAATGAGTACACTAAAAAAAAATTATAAAAAGCTTAAGTGGATGCTGGAAGTGGTGATGGAGGACCGCGGTGACAAGAGTCAGGGGTAAAGAGCTGCAGTGGCCAATGGCCTGTAACCGCTGCAGATGGTGGCTGCAACGCGTTGTGGTGGCCGGCAGTGACATTGCCAACATCGATAGCCTGCAGTCTATTTAAAACCGCCGAGATAGAGCGAATTTGAAACAAGCTGAATGAACTAAATGTTTCATTTAAAATTCATAACAATTTTAAACTACATTCCTTTTTTTCTCAAATCAAATACCCATAATTTCAAGGCCCTGCATTGGGAATACAATACTCCTCTTCTACAACAAGCCAAGCAACCCATTGATTGAAGAAAGAGTTTGAATATTAAGAAGCTACATAGGTTAAATCATCTATCAGAATAATACATACCAAACTAGTAGAAACAAATAAATATATACTATGGAAGATAGCTACTAATCTTGCAAGCATATTTAAATGGAGGTATCTGATGAAGAAATTATACATACACATGCGATGTGCATTGGTAGGTTTTAATAAAACATTGATCACACAATTCTATCCGCCTGATAAGACGGCCATTGATTGACAACACGCAAACTAATTAATGTTCGATTTCTATTAAACATCCATGCAAGTGAAAGAAAGAGTACCGCAGTTTTATAATAAAAAAAATTGAATCCTCATAAAGAAACAAATGCTGATCAGAAAATAATAAAAGAAATCTGTGCTGCCGGTTAAAAAAAACAATACTCAAAATTAGTAGCAGTACAATAAAACTTAAATGCATGAATTGCTTTGTGAAACACCAATAAGAATTATATTTGACACCCCTCTGTAGGACTGCTGCATTTTCATTTTAAAGCAATGAAAATGACGTAAGGGACAACAGAACAACGACTCCAAGTCAAATTAATATTTTACAAATAAGCTCACCGGAGAAGGAAATATTAGTTCCCATCTTATAATTGGAATATCAGTTCCAATATAAACAAACTTAGATTAGAATATAGCTATAGTTGCCACAATGTGGAAATTGAATGTGAAATCGGCAATTTTAAAAAGCAACACCTGATAATGTAGCTTCTTGAATGATGAACCAATATTGCAAACATGGAATATTGAAGGGGCATTTGCATACATACCACCAAATTATTATGCATATACATGTCTAACACTTAGTCATTACTCTCGACATTTATGCCACCCAAGGATTTCATATAGCATAAAAAATATCCCTACTTTGAGTTTAAAAAAAATTTAAATACACCTGTTCATGCGTAGGTAAGGTGGCATTTCCAGTAAAAATTGAAGTATAGGTGTTAAATATGTAAATAATAGGAATTAAGTGGTATGTATCATGTATGTAAATCTGCCAAAATTGAATCAACCCTTATTCCGCTCTTTCTCAGAATGACAAAAACTTTCGTTTTTTTTTAATCAATCCCAGCCCCTTCTAACAAACTTTACCTCGTTACCAGGTTGCATTATAGCCAAAGATTTGTCATCACATATTTTCTATGGGAAGCCAATGTTGCAACCATTTTGCATATTGATCTGATCTTGAAAGACATTTTCAATCAATTTAACCAGTTCTGTAGGATTGCCAATTTTGAAGTCCGAAAGGCTACAAAGATCTATTTTTTTAAGTGCGGTTCCCAAATTGTAATCTTGATGGTGTCCCTCACACACAATTTGAAGGGCTATTCTCAAAGCAGTATATAGTTCATGAAAATCTGGTTCCTCCATAATTCTCTTTATTTCAGAATAGGCAATGCGATTTTCTTCTGAACAGCTGTTTAAATTCTGATCAGCGAAAGCTTCAACAGAACCCATGCTCAAGGCAACTGAATGTATGGCTTTTATATTGTTTGAAACGTAATAAGCAACAGATCTTAAATGAGAAACCACAATTTCCTCATTTTTAAGGTCCCTAAGCAAGACGAGATTGGCCAAGGCAAAACGTGTAATAAAGACAAAAAAATCATAGAAGTTCATGCCTGTGAGGAAAAAAGAAACGTAAAGGAGGTATTAGTGGATATGGAACAAAGTAAACAAACAAATTCATTTTCATACACACTGCCCATTTCTTATGTATTTACATATCTAATACCTAAACTTTGATTTTTACATTGCTACCACCGATGTCTTTCGCATGACAACAAAAATACCACTATTTTAACTTTAAAAAAGTGAAATACACATTTCATGCACAAGTAAGGTGGCATATAAGTAAAAATTGAAGTATAGTTGTTAGATATGTAAATATATAAGAATAGAGTGGTATGCACGATTTTTTTTGTTAAATACTGGTATCATCATCAGCATGGTTGACCTGTGTTGGCAGCAAGATTTCTCTGACAGATGCTTTCAAAGTCATCACAAATCTCTCGGATGTCTTCGATGTACTCTTTGGCTTCAGTGTAATCTTTAACAAGCAAATTCCACTGTGTTTGTGTGTTAAAAAAATTAAAATGATAAGCCAATAATCAGTTTAGCTTTCTGGGTAGATCTAATGTGAGTGCATTAAATCTATGCTTCACTTACCACCCAGAACAAATTATAACCATTGAACCAGTTATGGTTTATCGATATTGTGTCTTCCTGTTGTATAATGCCAACATAGAATGCGCATTAGGATAATTGAATAAAATAAAGAAAAATTTTATTAAAATTCAAACACAATGCTAAGGTAAGCATTAGGATAATTATTGGTCTAAAAGAAAAAAATGAGTTTAGACAAAATGCAGCAGACCTGTTGTACGCATTCAATTTCATATATATTAAGAAAGAGCACGGAAGAGGCCACATATGAGTCCCATTTTGGGATAAAAGAAATTAGAAAGAAATGGCAAGGTTCATGATAACCACTACAACAGAAAGTGCTCACAAAAAGTTTATAATTATTCGCAAATACCATTCTTTCAAACTGATTGTGCCTTCTACAATTATCATATTTGAACGACACAAAGTATGAGTATAAGTAGAATAAGACATCGCAATCTCTATAAACCTCATGGTGTGGCGATAGAAAACAAGTCCTAAGATAAATGCAACAAGTAACATAACGAGTATTGTCAATGCAAGGCAATGTTTACCCCAAAAATGAGGTTAATTAAATTCTTAGGCTAATTACGCCACAATTATCAATCTTTGTCATAATTAGTGCTGCCTAACTAATCAACGGGCCTAATTGAGCAAATTCCAACTCGGATGTTTCAAAATTGGCGTTTATAAGGCATGCATAGTTTATTATGGGCATAATTAGATTGGAACCATAGTTATCAAAATTAGGCCAAAAATCAACCTTATTAATCAAGTAGCTCAACTAAGACTAAGATAATAAGGCCTTAATTCCCATGATTAAGCCAAAATACTGTACTTGATTAGTTATACAAATTTTATATCTAATTTTTTCTTCTTCTTTTTCTTTTTTATTGGCAGATTTTAGGATTTAACATATCATTATAAATGACTTTGCAAAGCAAAAAAATAAGAAAGAGCAAGAGCGCTTTAGCTGATCCGTTAACCTGAAAAACTATTTTCTTCTTGCATAAACTATTGTAGGCAGATACCCTAACCGCGTCTCTAGTCCTTGGATTTCCTTGCATTACCTTCTTAGCCACATCTCCCACATTTCTGGCAATGTTCTCATCCACAGTATTGTCGGCAGCTAAAAGGGGGAAAGTTAAAAATTGGTGGGTGATTTGTTCAAAGCTGTCCGTAAGAAGCTGTCGGTCGCTGGGAGTGAAGTCTCGTCGCCTGCTTCGGAAGAACGTTTTAATTTATATATAGTTTTAGAAAAATATGAAATCAAACTGATCTCATATTTTTCACAGTTTAAATGAAAGAGCGTTCTACCTCAAATCTTGTATCTATCCCGATGGATAACCACAAAACTTGAGGATGAGGCTCGATCAAATAAACTAAGAAATATATGACATCCGTTTGGTCTGCGAAACCGTTTTATTTGCCGACAAGTTCTCCTATTTAATACAAAAAATTAAATAGGGTTTATTTTAGGTTGGGTTTGGAAAAGCTTCTTATACGGACAAGCCCCTATAGTTAATTACATCTTAAATGACCGAAATCACCTAAGAAAACTCTCGATAAAAATCAGGGGATATCATCTTCAAAGAAGTCAAGAGGATAGGACTTTTCAACGAAATCGGATAAAGAGGTGTAAAAGGGGAAATGCTCGAACCTGGAATAATGTTGAGGAATCCAAATGAAGAGAAACTAGGGGAGGTCACAATCTTGAGGAGAACCTCAGTGACTTCCCAGTCTATCCTACGATTTGACTTTAGTTTTGAGAAAAAATTATTAAAGTGTTTCATCCTGTCAATTTTGTTTAATTAGGGCTTATATTTGTGTGACATGGTCACACAAATCGCCTAGAAGATATGAGGGTTTACGTCGTATCGGACGACAACCTCGGAACCTAGAACGAGTATCGTACAGCAGAGCTAGACGAATGCCTAAAGAAAAAAAAGGTGGAGGATTTATGTTGCGCTAGACAAACAACCTCAAAATCCTATGGATTGTTGTTTAATTTCTAGGAAAAAGGATAAATGAATGGTTTTGCTGGGGAAGACATGTTCTACTGTTGAAGATGGTCGTGTTGCCCACCGCACTAGCTCCAAGCTCCTCGACGTGACGAGTTTAAGTTTTCTAGGGTGTCCAATTACGATGTTAAATCAAACAATCCTATGGTGAAAGACTTCTAAACATCCTATATAAAAAAAGGCATGCTTAAAGATATATAAATAAAAATGTGCAGTACAGGACAACAGTAGAATGCATGCAGAACACAACAGTAAGATAAGTGTAACATGCTGTACAGTACGGTAGCAGGTAGAAACATGACAAGTATAACATGATGTACAGTACGCTAGCTAGAAACAGAACAAGTATAACGTGTTGTACAGTACGGTAGCAGGTAGAAACAGGACAAGTATAACATGTTGTACAGTACGGTAGCAGATAGAAACAGGAAAATAAAGTACTAAAAAATATAAAATAAACATGTACGCACGTAAGATCCGATGTTCCTTAAGTATAGCAAACCTAAATGCATCTCGAAAGCAAAGTCCGGAAGAAAAACGTCATCCAAGAAATCCGAGGAAAAGTGAAAAACTCGAGAAAATCAACGAGAAGAGACTCGAGTAAAAGAAAATCCTCAAAAATCCTAGAGAAATCCCGAAAGAAAGGAAGAGTAACACGAGTGCCCTGTCCCAAATCTTCGATAAAACAAAACAAAGAAAAGTTCGGATGAGGGGGATCGCAAGCACTCGTATAGGGCTAGGCTCAGCTATGTATTTATACTCGATGGTCCACAAAGGCTACTCGGTCACCCGAATGTATAGAACCCGTCACTCATCTAGAAGGGTGTCTTGAACCTCACTTAGGGGACTATTTCCCAACCTAAACAAGTATTCGTCAGGTGGACAACCAGCTTTAAAGTGTGCTTTATGTTTTTTTAACATGCATAAAAATTTTAAACATGCAAAAATGAGTTATCAATTTTGTTTCGTAGAAAAGTATGTTTTTGCTTGAAAAGGGTTTATCAAAACTTATATTATTTTTTTTAAAAATTTTTGTTGTCCACAAGTCGATTACACTGTCGGGCATGGGACTGTCAATCACCTGAGAAGGTTCGAGCCAACTCTCGCTAGACTTATGTCGGCGAAGGATACTATATTCTATTGTTCCTCAAATGTCTGGATCTTGATGTTGTAGGATAGGGCATCTTTCTGCTCTATCCTCGGTGTGCATTTATCATCAACACCGTACGCCCCAAAACGACTACTTGCGACCTTGTTTGATGGTTTCACGTATAGCAAAAGGCTATAAAAATGGGGTGAGAGAGATGAGGCACTTATCCATCTAAAACACCGAAAAGGAGAATGAATCAGTTCTCAAAACTTGTATCGAAAAGACCTAGAAAAATAGGGTCCAAGGTCTTTCCTAACAAACATAAAGGGTCACTTTGCGCTGATTTTTCAAACCCCAAAGACGTAGGATTGACCAAATCCACCAAATGCTTCTCCAAAATGAAGTTTAAAATCTCCCAAACTTCGAAAGAGGATGACCTCGGGGAAACCACCACCGATACTTCCAAACTCATGCTGAAATTAAAATTCCCCAACTTTCGAACTAATAGATAGCCTCATGCATCAAATAAGCATAAAATCCTCCCACATAACCAAATAAATGCTCACGGCCGGGGTCAATAGAATAGAGGAAACAGCAGTTAGGGCTCTCGGCCAAAGCAACCCACAAAGGACCACAAGTGAGGCTCACGACTAAGGCAAACCCGAGGAACAGGGGAAGAGGAAGCTCGCGGTTGAGGCAAACCCAAGGAGCAACAAGTGAGGCTCACGGCCAAAGGTAAACCCGAAACAATTCCCTACAAGCTTCGATATACATAGGAGAGTGAATGCACAGGTTTTCATAAATTCATCTTAAACCAGCTCCAATTTCCCCAAGTAAGACTCAAAACATATGCCTAACTCATTTCGAATCAACTCATTTTATAGATAATGCACATACATATACTTTTGGATGACACACTTGATGCCCCCATAATCGTTCAAGTTATTCAAGCCCAACAAGAAGAGCCAAATCAAGTTGAGCACCCTCAATAAGTCTCACGGGTAGGAGTAGGAAGGAGCAGCCACTAAGATTCACAACCACAGCCAATCCAAGGCACAACAAGTAAGGCTCAAGACCAAGGCTGCCAAAAGGAACGGGGAAGCAAAGAGGGTCAACCGAACTCCCAAACCAAGGCACACATCACCCTAAAACAGAATCTGGCAAAATCAAAGCTGAACCACACCGCAAGCTCAAACAGGGCTATCCCAAAGATAAGATCAAGCCCAACAAGGTCTAAAACCGCAACCATCAACCAAAATAGAACCACCACAATCCAAAACCGAGCCCAGCAAGGGCCAAAATAGAACCCAATAGTATTAAAATTCAGACCTCCATTAAGGATAGAGCTCTATTATTTCAATCCAAAAAAAACTGAGACTCCAAACCCAGCCAAAACCGAGCCACAGCTAAAGTTCGAATTCAGGTTACAACAAAATAGTAGAAAGAAACATTTCCATGCCCCTGAGACATCAAAATATAGAAACAACGCATGTCTTACACAAGAACAACTACAGAGTTATTCTGAATCAACATAAATTCATCCACCACACGTATATTTGATCCAAGACACCAGTGAGATGCCAAAACCGAGCCCAGCAGGGGCCAAAATAGAACCCAATAGTATTAAAATTCAGGCCTCCATAAAGGATAGAGCTCTATTCATTTCAATCCAAAAAAAAAAAAAAAAAAAACAAAAACCCCAACCCCAC